ACGTAAATGGTGCAACACATGCCAGAATTTTACAATCAGCTGTCTATCCTTATGAGGAAACACACAGATAATCCGAGAGATTGCACTGCAAAGTCAGTAAGACAGACAGACAAATAGACGGTTAAATAGGAGGAGTCAAACACATAGGAACTGATATAAAGCGGACTCATAATTATCACGAAATGGCGCAATGTAACAATTCTATGGGCTCATTCAATGGTATTTGTCCTCAAGGATTCTCAGGAGATGATGTTAATTGATTTGGTGTGATACCACAGGCCGCCCAAGATCACATCTCGAGAAAAAGGCAACGATTAATTCATGAGTGCGTCACGCGTTGTGTGACTCGGTGTTAAGTTACGAGAGGAACCGTTGAAAATTTGAACACGTTATAGGGAATAGTATGGGGAACGAAATATGGTCGATTTACAACGATAAATATTTCGAAATATGAATATTTTACACGTAAAATCAGTAACACTTACTAACATCCTGTGTGTCCGTTGTAGTTTCTGGCGATTTCTTCCGTTTTAGGCTTGCTTTACCATCATTGTTATTCCTGTCCAAAGACTTCGTCTTTGGACTGGAATAACAATCACTCCTGTTGACGATGTTTTGATAAGGTTGGGCTGTTAGGGCAAAGGAACTAAGGATTTTAGAAGGCAGTGATTTTTTTTCAATCCTGGAAACTATCACCGTGAAAGCCATACTTGTGGCCGGTAACTCATTCTTATTCTGATAAACTAGTTTGAAGAAGGACATAATATTTTATAACAAAAACTTGATGCACAGGTTGTACAAAAAAACTTTAATCTGACTATACTTTTATCGCCAATACCAGTCCCTTCACATGGTAAAATGTTACGAGGATCAGAGAAAAAACAATAAGCCATACATCTGCAAGATTTGATGTCATTATTTTAATAACAAGAATATTATATTCTAGGAGTTACTAGGAGATCTAATAATATTAAAAAAAAAATTGGTTGAAAAATTAGGATTCAGCACAGGCTGGATAAACAAAATTCTTAGAAAAAGAAATGTACACTAATGAAAAAGCTAAGCAAACTTTTTTTTACAACACGTGCCTGTACCTATACGGCATGTAGTAAAGTCTTTTGAAGTAGTCATAATCCCAGTTTCATATATTGAAAACACAGGTACGTGCAGATTTTTTTTGTAAACCTATAGTTTAAGCCTGTGATGACTTTGAAATTTTGATGCACACCTCAAAAGGAGAACGAATAAATTTAATGTTTCTATTTATTCAGTTTAGGTTAGTGAGGTAAAATTGAGTCAAACATTCAAGACGTACAACAACAAGTTCAAGAAATTTTCACAACTAATTTTTAAGGTTAGCCTACCTGGAACAATCACCTTCATGTAAAAATTAGACCAGGTTTGTACTGATTATGCCCGACAGAACTATCTTTGGCAAGAGGGCAGGGTTTCCTTTCTTCTTTTAAAGAAATGATGATGTCATCATCTTTCCACAAGCTCAGTGGAAAGAGAGAGCGAATGAGACTGATAGTGACTATGTTATTTGAATAAATATCCAGAGCCAGGATAAGAAGTCAGACATGGTCTGCAAAACTCTCTTGTTTTAATATTTTAACCTATTAAGCTAAAGCTTTACATTCTTGCTTGTTTTTCCAGATTCCCACCCTTTTAAACTCACATATCTTGCATCAAATTCCTTATTTCGATGTTCAGTTTGGGTAGGAATATTGGTAAGAAACACCATGCATTAATGAGAGCTTGAGCTAGTGTATTTGGTGCAAGCTAAATAATAATATTACATGTTACAGTATGGTAACTTACGCAGCAAAGTTATATAAGAACACAATTTTCAAACAAAGGAGGTCAGGAGGTCTGCTTCAACTTTTGAGGGCTTCATGCAGGTATAGAAAATAGATATGGTAAACAGCTACAATTAATACAAAGTTAAAAGTTTGAAAGCTAAGAGATATACATTAAAATCATCAGACCCTATGCATCCTAGCAAAAGAAGGGTCATTTACCATCATAACTTCTCCCAAATGTTCATGCTTAGAGGAAATCATTTACTTTTGTCTCTAGGTGGTACTGTATTTACAATAGTTCTGCCAACACACATGCATTTTTCTAAAGTTATCTCATAGCACATGACTGTACAGGTCAAGTAGAAGGTTCCTGCATTGGGACTAACATTTCAATTACCTCAGCAAACTGTAATCATCAGAATTGCAAGCCAAGGTGTATTTACCAAGTGCTCAAGTTTCTAAATTTGTCACGTATTACAGTGGAGTTCAGTCCTTTTTGAGGCTATCTTCAGCTTGATCACCCTGTTACATGTGAAAACATCAAATGTCATTCACATATTCAAATAATTACCTGAATGAAAAGTTATATTTTTTTTTAATACCCTGCTATCTTTAATTGTGCTCCAGGAATAGTAAATGGTATTGAAGAGAAAGGAACAGAGTTCTTGAAACATTCTATGTTAAATGAAACTTTGTTATGAATGTTAATTGTGA